GCTTTATATTATAAGAAAATGTAATAATAATATAAAGCCAGTTATACAGAATTGGCTGTAGCTGTGCCACACTGTGTTCTGGTCTGCAGTCTGGACATGTGCTCATCTATTTTGACCACTAGGGGGATACAAGCCTTAGTTAGCAATGGCATGATAAATATTCATTTCATTATTCAATGTCTTTTTTTTAATATTATAAATGTTATAATATAAAAAAAGACATTGAATAATGAAATGAATCTTTATCATGCCATTGCTAACTATGGCTTGTATCCCCCCTAGTGGGGAAAATAGATTACCACATGCCCAGACCCACAGTGTATTATTGTATAGTGTGGAACAGCTGTAGCCAATTCTGCATACCTGGCTTTATATTATAAAGTTCTTATAATATAAAGCCAGGTATGCAGAATTGGATATAGCTGTGCCACACTACAGAGTGTTCATGTTCTTCATAATATTAAGAAACTGACCTAAAATCATGATTTTGTATTGCTTTAGAAAAAATGTGACCTGTCCCTTTAAGAAAAAGTATCGGTACTCGTACTCGGCCTTAAAAAAGTGGTATCGGTGCATACCTAATAACGATATATTTTTATATATTTTTAACTTAAAGTGACATTAAACCCTCAGATTTTTTAACATAAAACAATACTGTAATGTGTACCTTACTGTAATCCATGGTTGTTTCCCTTCTCTTTGCTTCACTTCCATTTAAATCCTCATGTCTTCTCATGCTCTGCAGAACTTCCCTTTGCAGCTCAGGGCCTCTTCCTGTAGTGCTGGCTCAGGTTACAAGCCTATAGAAACTAATACACAGACACCGTGTATCCATTCCTGAGACAAGGCAGTCTGCTGCAAAACAGAAGTTCTGCAGAGCATGAGAACAGATACAGATTTAAAAGGAAGAGCAGCAAAGAGAAGGGAAACAACCATGGATTACAGTAAGGCACACATTACACTATTGTTTTATGTTAAAAAATCTGAGGGTTTAATGTCACTTTAAGTAGTATCGTTTGTGTCCCCACTGGGGCAATTCACCCTCACTACTGGTGACCACTGTCTCCAGTACACAAAGTGATGGGTAATCCACATTATTTGACCTGTAACCAGAAGAGGAGGAAAGAGGAAATATTCCAATGTTCTGGTGATAGCTGAAATGTCACTTGCTTTGGAGAGATTTCCTCTTCCTGATGTGTCTCTGGACAGGAAGTGAAATCTTCCCGATGGGACACAGACATAACCTGACCGGTCCCTACTGTATCCAAGCTAAAAAAAAAACGTTGGCTTTCCTTACACTTTATAACATAAAGTAATCCCTTTACTATCTTTCAGATCTATTGAGGACCTTGAATCAGACGAAACCAGGTAAAACATTTGCAGAATTATTTCTTTAAAGATTTTTTTTTTTATAAATGTAGCCCCAAGAATATAATTTACCACTATTGAAGTGTGTCATGTCCTGGTGGCTGCTATTTATTGTATAAAGTTCCCCCACGAGTGCCCCCAGATGCCCCCTACATCACTGATCTTCCGGTGCAACTGAAAGACTCTGACAAATTTGCGCACCTTCCTCCATTCTCCTCCATTCATAGAAGCTGTACTATTTTTTTCCACAGTGCAAAACGGCCTGTGATTGGAGGACTGATGGATGAACGACAAGATCTACCTCCTCCAAACATAGGTTGCAGAGCTGTAAGGGGTATCGGGTGGCACATGTGGGAAGATCTACACAAATGAGGAGCAGCCACCAGGACATGCGATACACCTCATTGGTAGTAAGTAGAGATGTGCTCGGGATTACTGCAAAACGTACCAGGGTTTATCAGGGGCTGGGGCATTTCCCTCTTCATAGCTACACGTAACAAAGGGGTGAGGAATGTAGTCTACATGCTACAGTGATCTGAATCGTCCTCTGAAAATTGATGTTCCAGCTCCAACCATTCTATGTGGGAGCTGAGCTAAGTTTGGATATGCAGATAAGATACACCGAGGTAAATGAATTAAGACTGAAGCAGACAAAATGTGTAGCAGTTGCCCATGGTAGCCAATCAGCTTCTCTTTCATTTTCAAAGCTTAAAGGAGAACTATGAGGTGAGTGCTTTCCACTCACCTCATAGTTCTAGCCGACCTGTGACAATGAGACTGTCACAGGTCGGCTCAGTAGATCGGGAGGTGAGCGAACACATACCGGCGTTCGCTCCCCTCTCGATCCTGTCGCAGCTCTCTGCCGTGACAGGTGAGGGGCTGGATTCCCCCCTCCCCGCTCCGATCCTTCAGCGCTGACTGGCGGAATGGACGGGGGAGGGGGCGGGTACAGCTGGCTCTGACTCTAGATAGGCAGAGCCAGCTGTCAGTCACGCAGCTGGGCGGATCCCGGCACAATTGTCGGGATCCGCTTCAGCTGCGGCGTCTTGGTAAACCGCGAGCTACAGCTCGCAGTATACTGAGCCTAGGGTGACGGGAGGACGCCAGTTTGTGTCCTCCCGTTAGCCTAAGGAAAACTATGGGGAAAAGCCTTAACCCCATAGTTCTCCTTTAACTGCAGAAAGGAGCTGATTGGTTACTGTGGGCAACTGCTCCAGATTCTCTCTGCTCCAGTTTTGATAAATGTTGTCTGGTTTGCAGAAGTTGGGGCAAACAGGAGCAGCGTCTGTATTTGAATTTCACCGCACTGCAGTCTCAGCTCATCATCTTATTGAAAGTAGTTTGTTTCATTTTCTCTTTACTATTTTTGATGCTGATGCTTGTGTTTTTGACCTTTCCAGCAAACTGTCACACCAGCCTGTGCTGCTGTTCCTAAGGGATCCATATGTCTTGCCTGCAGCCAACGGTAATCAAACCTGTCATCTGTTAACTGCTGTTTACTGATCTGACCCAGCAGCACAGAACTGCAGGGTTATTACAAACGTTAAATGCTTTTTGTCACATCTTATAATTTATAGTTGCTGCAGAGGACAAAATGTGGCCAGGTTGCATCTTGATTTATGTTATTGAATGCAATGTGTGTTACTTCTACTTACACTTTGGAGGTATTATACAGGTGTGTTATTGATATAATATACAACTAAGAAATGTAAAAATGTACGGAATATTTACATACATTGTATTTCCTAAAATGTATGCTTTGGTGAAAGGAAGCTGAAAGAAAAGTACATTTTTTTGCTGTAATAAAATTATGATCGCAAGAAATAGCTGTCAATGATATTAGCTGATATTGTGATAATGATATTGCTGTACTTACAGAAGGGAGAGGGTAGGGATCAACACAACAGCATACTGATGCTCAGTGCTTGTGCAGTCAGCAAGATGGGGCAGTGGAGTGACCAAAGCTGTGTAACTTATTTGTAAAAAATTAAATTGTGTTCACCCACCTGGCCTATAGTGTGGCAGCTATGCCTAACTCAAAAGAGTGGTCGGACAGAACTGCACATCTTTTGTTCTAACTGTGGTCCCGTCTGCTGGCCCCTACATCAATATTATGTCCTGTTGTAAAGTAGGGGCCTGCAGATGGAATCTCAGCACACAGTGAAGGACACAGGTATCCAATTCGCCCAGAAGTGTGTTGGATGGGAAGATTCTGCTGGGTGCCATAGCTATGCAAGAGAGTGGAGATCGGAAGAACATCCAGCTGGTAAGGGGAGTGTAAATATTCTTCCAGAACTTTTTCCCCTTCCGTTCATTGAAGAACACAGCTGGATCCTGAGGACCTACACCATATGGGTTTTATATCGCCACCTGTAGGAGAAGAAAGCTAGGCAAAAAAAAAAGAAGCAGCCTAGGGGCAGTCAAACCCAACAATCAACCCAGTTTTTTTTTGCCTAGCGTTCAGGAGTTATGACCTAGGAGACTTTCTGTCTTAGAAAGGTATTTTTTCATCTACTATTGATTTTCAATCAAGCTGCTTCCTGGCTTACAGGCTGGATATTTAGATCTTGGTAGTCTCCCCAGGGTAACCCTATGAGCGCATGCAGTTCTCCTCTACAGCGAGAACAGCTGCAACGGCTTCACCTTTACAGAGCGTCATGAAGGATGGTCTCCTCCAGGGGTAAGTATAACCGATCGCCAGAGGGTGGGTCATGGTACCGCCTTTGGGCCAGCAGTGTCCGGCTGCTGTCAGAGGCATTTTGTTGTGGACTGAAGGGGTTTTCTATAGTCCTGTCCTTTTTTCAACAGGCGGGGGATCATTGCTTGTTGTTTAGCACCTTGAAAGGTCAGGCATTCTATGGTCCATACTTTTATCCAGGGTGTCAATCGTCTGGTTCCCCCTTTAAAGCCACTTTTACCACCAAGGGATTTGAATTTGGTTGTGTCTGTCTTGCAGAAGTCTCCCTTTGAGAATATTCGAGAAGTCTCCCTTTTAGAGTCCCTTGTTAGATTTATCTAGGAAGGTTGCTTTTTTGGTGGCCATCACGTCAGCTGATCGTGTGTCCAAGTTGGCGGCGTTGTCTTGTAAACCACCGTTCCTGGTCCTACATCGGGAGAAGGTGGTGCTTCTACCTCGGCCGTCCTTTCCGAATTGGTTTCCTCCTTTCATTTAAATGAGAACATTGTTTTGCCATCTTTATGCCCCAAACCATCTTATCTGAAGGAGGAAGGTCTTTACACTTTGGATGTGGTTAGGGCTATTCGGGTCTGCCTTGGGGTTACGTCTTCCTTTCAACAGTCAGATTCTTTGCTTGTCGTCCCAGATGGCCCTAGGAAAGGACATGTGGCCTCATGGCCAATAACTCCAGGTGGATTCGTCAGACTGTGGTTCAGGTGTATGTTCTCAAGGGTCAGGAACCTCTGTTTTGGGACACTGCCCTTTTTACTAGGGCTTTGAGTGTTTCTCGGGGCTTTCATCACAAGTTTGCAAAGCTGCTACGTAGTCTTCTGTTCATACCTTTTCTAAGGGATAATATTGGCAGGCGTGTGTTGCAAATAGCGTCTAGAGGAGCTGGAGGTTTCACACCCCAGGTTATGAATACAAAGGAACAGATTGTTTCTGCAGTGGGCTGTGCAAGGACCCAGTGGGGAGAAAAAAGGGGGCTTTTTAGAAACCAGTCCAGACCTCGTATATAAAAGTCTTAGAAAAACATTTATTCACTAAATTGTTGTATACATAATTTAGAACCAAAAAATAAAGTACAAAATCATGTCATCAATAAAAATATATATCATTAATAAAAATACATATTGAATATGCAGGTTCACCGTTAGGTGACAATACCGTGCGGTTACGAGATATGCGGTAACTTATTTTCAGATGATGTAAACGCTCCTATAGGTCCCTGATTCCAGTGATACAAACAGTAACTTCACACGCGGCAAGAGATCCGGTCTATATATGTCCCCTTAATAGAACTTCATGACCCCTAAGTGTACCTCACCGGCTTTTTGGTTCTAAATTATGTATACAACAATTTAGTGAATAAATGTTTTTCTAAGACTTTTATATACGAGGTCTGGACTGGTTTCTAAAAAGCCCCCTTTTTTCTCCCCACAGCCCACTGCGGAAACAATCTGTTCCTTTGTATTCATACCTTTTCTAAGTTTTATAAGTTGGATGTTGCGGCATCTGCGGATGTGAGTTTTGGCCGCAAGGTTTTACAGGCAGCGGTGTGAGTGTCTTTTTGACTGTGGGTGGGTTTGGTCTTTTGCCCGTTCTCTGTTGCACTGCTTTGGGACGTCCCATATGGTGAAGATCCTAAGGATTCGGCTGTGTCCTTCAATGAAACAGAAGAAAAAACAGGATTTTTGTACTCACTGTAAAATAATTTTCTCTGCGTTCATTGATGGACACTGATTGATCTGATTAAAGTAAACTCAATTGTGATAGGTTTTTACAGATGACTGGTTATTACTGTACTGTACATCATTATTACTCTTTGATCAAGATAAAAAGCGCTAAAGGTATTAAATAATGTGTATAAAAAGTGGAAGATAGGTTTTCAGGCGGGTCGGCCTGGAGCCTATTAATGTATATGAAATGTGATTAATAAACCAATACAAAATTGCTGTGATAAAGATAAAACATAAAAACATAAAAAATAAAAACAAAAACAAAATCTTTATCACAGCAATTTTGTATTGGTTTATTAATCACATTTCATATACATTAATAGGCTCCAGGCCGACCCGCCTGAAAACCTATTTTCCACTTTTTATACACATTATTTAATACCTTTAGCGCTTTTTATCTTGATCGATTACCGTAGGGATTTCTTTAATCCCCTTTTTAGAGCTGCTCTGGGTTTATTAGATTTGTTCACTATTTTTAATTATTTAATTATTCACTTATTTTTTCCTTGTATACTACCATTTTAATTATTTAAGTATTCACTTAATTTTCCTTCTTTACTACCTCTCTCCAGAAGCGCAGATTATGTATTTACATTATTACTCTTTGCCTAATAATAACCCACTTGTAATTTTGGTTTTGCCCTAATATACAAGTATGCACAGCATACTTGCACGTTAGGGCACAGTTAGCTTACAAGTGCCCTTCCGTATTGGTGTCAGATCCATCTTTGGTCCTGTGCATTGTCCACTGCTGCCGCCATCTCTGCCGACTCTTTCAGGTTATTGGAAGCCCGCTTCAGCTATTGGTTGACCACCGATGGTGTAACACATTGGCTCTCACATAGAGAGTATCTACAATATTGCTGGTGGGGAGAGAGAGAATTTGTTTGGCAGGAGAGACTTTGCATTTTTTTCTGCCAAAATCCTGACCACCCAAGGATATTTTTTTTTCTCCCTTTGATCAGTGCCAGAATTGTGAGCACTGCATACATATTGCCATTTGTCTGAGTATTTTTCCTAAACTTGGAATGTGAAGATGTTCATAATCTAGTTCAGAATATTCTGAAAAGCAGAAAGACTGTTCCAGAGGAATGTGAATGTGACTCTCCAGACTGCCAAACCAGATGTGTTAGTACACTTCTCTATGGGCTCTAGTTACTGTAGTCATTTTGGCAACACTGTAATTTTTTACTGAAGGATTGCTTATGTTGAATTTTTAAAGAACGTTTAAGTACTTTTTCTTTGGTGAATGCTTTTAGTGTATTTGCAGCTAAAAGTTTTTTTTTTCTGTATACAGTAAGGAAAAGAACAGTTGGATTTTCACTGCTATCCAGGCTGACCGCCACCCCCTACTTCTGACCCAGCCAGTGGCAGCAGTTGCGGTGAGGGCATTCCCCACCCCTTTGTAACAAATAACTGCGGGTTGGGATATGCGCCTCTCTGCAACTGATTGGATTGGGAGGAGGGGGTGGGTGCATTATTGGACTTGCAGCTTATTTGTTTGTTTGTTTGTTTGTTTTGATAGTGGAAAGGATAGGGCCAAGAGTGCAGATTTATTGAATAAGAACAGATGGGGACACCAGCCCAGCCTCATAACTAATCTCGATGCAGAGAACAGAGAATATAGTAAACATACTATATTCTCATGTTATGAATGAACAGGCACACTCATAGAGGATTCCTGTTCATTTATAACGAGCTGCAGAAAAAGAGATAGAGGACTCAATCTTTTTCTATTTTAAAAGGGAAATATCAGGAGTCTGTTTAGACCCCCAATATTTCTCCAAAGCCCCTAAAAGTAAAGTAAAAAATATAGGGCTGTACAAATTAACAATTCATTTCTCGATTAATCGTTAATCTTTTTGATCGATTAAAATTTTTTTTAAACTCTCTGCACAAGCGCCAGCCAAGGCATTGGCCTATACACATACAGCACAGCAATGAAGTAATAAAATGAACTAGGATCACACTAATCCAGCACGTTATTATTCTGAGTTGCCCCACTCAAGCGGCGGCCATATTAAGTGGGGGCACGTGAGATTGAGTGTATATCCAAGGGGCCAGTCGAGCGGCGAAGCTGAGAAGATTGGGCGCCGAGGCAGCAGTGAAGGCTGGGCTCCCCGTGTAAGGTAGGAGCACTGTGCTGGCAGGGCCCACCAATGAGCGAGCAGGAGGAGAAGGGGGACGGAGCAGCAGGGGGTGGAGACAGAGGGAGATAGGGGCGGAGATTTGAGAGGACGGGAGGAGCCGGGGGTCTGAGCGGCATGAGACGGCCGGAAACAGCTAGCCCCTCTGAGATCTGGCAGACTTCAGGGTCTCATGGGGGCTTTGCATGATCTGTGTGGGCTCTGCAGCCCCGTGGTGGGCAGAGCCCATTACAAATCCTGCACAGCCCCCCTGAGACCCTGCAGACTGCAGGGCCTCCAGGGGGCTGTGGGGGGCTTTGCAGGGTCTCGGGCCTGTGCAGGATCTGTGGTGGGCTCTGTCCACCACAGGCCCCGCAGAGCTCACCACAAATCCTGCTAAGCCCCCCTGAGACCACAGCTTTCCTGCTATGCTACTAGCAGAACATGTCAAAAGCTGGATACAGTGTTTGCACTGTATCCAGCAACTGACAGGTCACACAAAAAGTATTAAATTTAGTGGGGGTGGGGGCGCTCGTGTTTTGCCTTGCCTAGGGCAGCCCCAAACCAGAATACACCACTGCGTTCAGGGACCACCAATTGAAATAGATCTGACTGACTCAGATCGCCTTGGTATGCGATCCGGGCCAGTCACAATTAGGCAGCGGCAGCCAATAAACAGGTAGGTTAGACGGCTGCTTCCTCCTCGCTAGGACCCAGTGAGGCCCCCGCAAGCGGCCGTCTAATCTGCCTGTTTAGAGGTCACCGCC